GAATAAAGAGAGCTTTCACCTCATCCGAACGTCGGCGTTAGTTTAATGTTCTGTCCAATTTTTCATATCACATCAATTATGTTCCAAGTCCCTTAAGAGATCGCTTTGAAATTTTGCAGACTTGTTAACCACCATGGCCCCAACCCCTAGACATGGGTAGATAACTCTGTCAAGCATTTTGTTAAAATTGACTGCCTTGTCGACTAAGATGGTTTTCATTTTACTACCAAGAACTAAGAATAGTCGAGTGTGCTCTTATTGTAGTTTTTAATTCGCGTGAGCTTAAGTAGAAGCTTTGCTGAAAATGATATTGTTGTCATCTAGAGGAAAATATAACAAAAAGAACCACCTTCCGTGTGCTGGTGTCTCGTATCCAAAGCTGTGCTATGTCAATCTTAAATTTGCTAGAGTAAAAATAAGAACAGAAAATCATAGTTTTGGTGCATGACCTTGTCCTACACGGGCGCTTTATACTAGGGCTAGAAAAAGTCTAGTTGTTTAATCCATTTTGAGGGCTTATTGCGAAACGGTTGTAACTTAAACTAGATAAAGGAGGAGATACAACTGTTTTGCACCAAGCCCTCGAATTATATTTTTAGTTGCATTTTATGATACACGTACAGCTTCATGGTGGTTGAATATCTGTTCCTTTGCCAATCCCCAAACCATATATAATTCCATGCATTTGTAATAGAGGTCGATACGTAAAAGTCAAGACCACAAGTGTTTGAAGTCACTACTCACAAGTAGGAAGTCACAAGTAAGAAGTCAAAAGTCACAAATAGGAAGTCTCTAGTCAGAAATACGAAGTCACAAGTCAGACCATTGTGCACGAAGTGTCATTGCAATATCGTTTAAAACGTACTTAGCTTTACAAATGCGTCATCCTGGAAATTCTTGAAGCTGACCTTACCACGGATAACTGCTTATTGATATATGCTTCTATAAGCGCCCATCCCTTCTTTTCCATTTGTAAGTGGTTAAGCGCCCATGATAAATTGTCTTAAAAAAGAAAAAAAAAACTGACCACAATCGACATTTTAAATTTTTATGTATGTCCGCGGGCCTAGAAAATTTCACTGTACAAGGAAAGACTGTTAATTTTCACATTTCAAACCCATTGTAGTGATTTGTCAGTAAACGGGACCACTTTAAATACGAGATATCCACAGAATTTGCAAAGCTGTGACTCTCACATATTGTATACTTTGTAAGACCTGACTCCTAATAAGCGCCCACCTTTCACAATTTTCTAAGCGCCCTGGGCGATTACTAGGAAGAATACTAGAGTACTGGCTAGATATCCTGTGCAAGTTTCGTACTAGGGCGTTTGGTCTACAAAGATGAACGTGAGGCAGTGAATTTATTTTAATAGCCAGATTCTAAATAACTGAAAGTTATATTAAGTATATAGGCCCTAGTAAGTCTGCACACCTGCACAGACTAATTCGGTATACACCTGTCACAGATCCGTAGTTTTTCTTGACTGAAACGTTAACGGTAACAAACAGACCTTTGTGAGCCATGATGTATTTGAACGTAAAAATAACATTTGACTTTTGTGACATATTCGTTTGTTATAATTGACTGTCAAACATAAGAATAAACATATGCCACTTACGTTATGAACTATAGAATATATTATACTATAGTTTACAACATCATCACGATCATCATCCTTAATATAGTTATCATCATCGTCATGATTATAATCATTATCATCGAAATCAACTTCTGCTTATCATCAACAACATAATTATTTAAATTATAAAGTCGACCTTCATCATGAGGAGCAGCATCATGACAATCATCATTGCAGTCAACATACTTATAATGATAATCATGATGATGTAGATGATGATGATGATAATGATGGATCGTGTTAATCATTTGTTATCTCACAAAACAACTTTAGGGCTTAAAAAGACTTCAGTCTTCATACGAGTTTGCCACTAAATCATTCAACTCCAGGAACAAATTCAATGCTGAATCGGCATCTACTGGCATTTGGAGGTCGGGCTTTAACAGATAAGCCAATTCGCTGAATTTGTCAAACTTTCTCTTTGGAACTGAATACATGTCTTTGCAACAGGTCACATCACGGTTGTCAACCACCGTACCATAATCAAGCGCGCCAAACGTTTCAGGTAAAAAAAAAACATAATGTCAGGTTTTCCGTAATGTGCGTCGGAATTGTGCTGAGGTCTAATTTCATGTACATTCCACTGTTGAGCAATTCTATCCAGGTGTATTTCTATTAGGTTCATAAAAAAAAATTTCAAATTTTCACAATGTATCTGGTCGAGTTCATTGAAACGACCAGAATCGCGCAAATCCTAAAAAAATTAATCCACCACTGTATTCCTTGTTGACGTAGCGTACCCCACCATCTTTCAATACGCTGGTTAGAAGTGCTTCTTCCAACAATAACGCTGCGACTACCAGCAAAGTGGTCGGTTGCTTTATTCCGAAAGAACTGCTGTGGAAGACAAACAACACTGTTTTCTGTTCCAGCATCGCAACGAAGTATGCGAGGTGTTTTTTCAATGCGCATCAATGCATCCAAATAATATATCGCAATCAGTTTTGGATCGTTGTTAGTGTCAGAAACTTCTAACCAGATATCTTTCCTGCTAAAACCATCTACCGCTCCGTCTATACAAAATCCGAATGGTTTCAACTTATCATAACCATCTAAATGCCAAATATTGTTTGGCCCTTTTGCACAATAGAAACGTCTTTTAAGTCGATGTGCTTTTCTCATTTCAACGCCATTTGGATCTATTGCCTTTATTATGTCCATAACATCTTTATGGCTTACATCCATATTATGATTCACTTCAGCGGCGCCATATCGTCCGATAACCGACAGACTGTCCACTATAATGCATTTCCGTGCCAATTACACGAACAACGTTTTTCAACTGCGATTGCAAATGTACACCTCGACGTTTCAGGTTCAACTTCTTCAAGATTCTTTTCAGCTGACGCAGTAACAACAAAATGCCATGCTTAAGTAGCAAAAATCCAAGAATTTCACTTTATTTAAAACCTTGTTTGAAATATTCTTCAATGAGTGATGCTTTATCAACATTCGGAGACGACAAAGGCAGGTAAGCTGGCACCACACCAGCTGTTATCTTCAACAGAGTGCACAGAAAACAACACGCAAACACGAATTTCATATTTTGGCACAACACAGCCATCTTCGCTCATTACTCACGAGCTCTCTTAAAGTGTGGTTTAATTAATTAATTTCACAGCTAAGAAGTAATAAGTCTTTAGTTAAAAGTCAAAACTCCCAAGTCAAAAGTCATAACTCCCAAGTCAAAAGTCATTAAGTCAGAAGTCAAAAGGGCCCTCCAGTGCTTCCATAGCTTTCAGCTTCTAAAGCACGTGTAAAATGGGTAAGCCAAAAGTCATAAGACGTAAGTCACAAATCAAAAGTCAAAAATCGAAAGTCAAAAGTAAAACATCCGTAAGTCGAAACTCAAAAGTGACCCTCCAAGGCTTCCATACGTATCTAATATATCTTTAATATATATAACACAAAATGTACTCTTTACGTAGATTTAAAAGCGCGTAACTTCCTGTATTGTTATATCTACCTTAATATTTACTTTAACAAAAGTTAGCCATATTGGTTATAAACCTTATCCGTTACATAACCAGCTTAAATATCTCATAGGTAAATATTTGTCATTTATAAATTACATCTCATTTTACATTGGCCTGTGCAATGATGTAATAAAATCTGAAATACAAACTGCAAATCATTGTAGGCTTTTATATATTATACGATAAATCTTACCATATTATAGTGTACAATAATTTCTCTTCAAAGCTGCATGCCTCCAAATGAGCCAAATCATTTCAAGACAAACAAACTTGGCAAAAACATGCTAAGATTGTAAGAAAAGTAAAAAGAGTCAATATTCAAGTAATACTTTATATCATATGTGCGATTAATAAGTTATGACTGATTTTGCAGTATTTGCCTCCAGTACTTTAGCTGCAGCGAGGCATATTCAAACCTTTTATTTAGTCCACTTCCTATATTACTTTCTTGTTCTTGATTCACAACAGGAAACATTTTGTTTGTGACAAATGTTAGGCAAGAAAACGACCTCTGTACGTTAAACTAAAAATGACTCCTTTGAAATAAGCCTACATGTATTGTTCTTTTCATCAACGTCGAAACCCGGGCCATGGGTACGGCTTCGGCTGAACTACATTCGGATCATAGAATTGCAGCTCATTAATTATTCATGACAGCTAAATTTCAAAGGGCTGCAAATGAAGTGTAAACGTAGAGTTAGGATGCTATTATGACAGTAGTCATGAGAGAGTGCCGCCCCAGACCTCGCTCGTTAAGTAATATGTAATCATACACATTTTTGTATTATGTCATTTTTACTCAGATGCTCGTTCGTGCCTGAAATAATTCATAGATGAGCACCTGACGTCTTCCTCCACCAGAAACGCTGAAAAGTCGCCATATGACCTATGCTGTGTTGTTGCGACATAAAATCCAACAAACAAAAATGTCCTTTTTCTGTGACGAGGACGGCGAGTTACGTATTTTAACGGCTTATTTCAAGCTTCATTGGCGAACCATTCAAAAAATATATTCTTATAGTACACCAAGCGAATATGTAAGAATAAAGTCTGCAGCTGGATATAATACAAAAAGGCAAAGGTCACACAAAACATCGGGGATTGAATCCGGGTATTAGGACACACGGACCATTATGCTTACTAGTACTATCGGGACATAAAAAATCATTTCCATTTGCTCTGGTCTTGATATTCTCAAATATTCTCTTATAAATATTGAAATTTATTAAAATAAATTAAAAGCCACATGGCGGCTGTTTGAAAAATGGTTCCCGAGAAAGAAACCTTTGTACATGTATATACAATATATTTATGACGACGTAAACATATCTTGGTATGTATTACTCGGTATGATGTTATTACAATTATAATAAACTTCTAGATGAATGTAATATCTTTCTTCTATTTACATTGAATAACAAATGTTCTGCAAATATCTACAAATGTTAAAAAAGTCACTTATAAACAGGCACCCATATCCTGGAATTTCTTTTATCCGGCGATCTATTGTTCATCTGCTGTTTCGAATAAATGTACCTCACAATAAAGCCGGGTCCAATATAGCAATGTTACAGCTCCTAGCGATATAATTCCGTTATTTGTACCACATTTTTGTTACCAACAGGAGACGTGCGTCAGATAGGAGCATCATCCATTCCCCACCCACCAAAAGTATAGATATTAGAACTAAATATACATTATTAATACTAAGTTTTCTAGTATACAAAAGCAAAGTTTTTATAACGATAGTTTAATCCATGTTTCTTCTGCATTTCCATGCGTTTTTTGTGAATAACTTCCGATATCCATTCTTTATCTATAGCGAAATTAAAAGGTCGTCTTGGTATAGTATTCAAAAAGAAAGTCTCGTTATTTTCCATGTGAACTTTTGGCGGATCTCTTTCCGTTTCCGGTTCATCCACCTTCACCGTGTAGGGTAAACGCCGTGTAACTTTCCTGTGAAAATGAGATAAAAACAGTTGTCAAAATTTCACACCAAAAAAATACAGCGCAAGCTATCATAGCATTAAGTAAACAAAACTACAAAATAAGAGCTGATGGTCATTGGACAAAACTGCAGTGTGTAAAAGTTTATATTTGGAAAATTCACGTTAATTAATGATTATACATGTATATGGTAGTATAGACGCTCATTATGTAAGTCACTGATCTAATTAATCTTTAGACAAAAAAAAACTTTGAATTGTAAGTAAACCACATGACTTAACAAAATTTTCAGTTCATCAATGACAAACTTACTTTAATTTAAGAGGGTCGCCATGTACTTCCATCATCCACCCGTATCTGTTCGCCTCCTCGTAATAATCCGGCGTTTCACAACTCCTCTGATATTCCTCCTCCTCCTCAAGATGTAGTTCCATCTTATATGGAGATGGCGCTTTTGGACGAAAAGAAGGCATGTTTTGACTCTTCCTTTGAGAAGATGTAGATCTCTTTGAATCTGGCGGTGACGGTGCCTTGCGAGATAACCTACCAGAAGGCGGACGTTCTGAAATCTGAATCCCGGTCGGTGTAGGGATATCATCTATGTTGATTGGATATGAAGGCTGCGGCCATGAATAATCAAAATGTGTTTGATCATATTCAGGTGGATAGCTTGGTGGTACAGGAGTCTGATGTGTTGATGCACTACGAGCTGGGCTTGGTGACGGCCGAACTGGGCCAGCAGATTTTACCGGTCTTTGAGGCTTCGTAGGAGTTTCTCTACGAAATGTGGCGCTTTTTATACGCGCAATTTTCTGTGCATTTGAAGGAGTTCCGGCAGTGATTGGTGACTGAACTTGAAGTGACTGAGCACATGACACTGATCTTTGAGGTGTTGTCTCCCTTGGCATAGTAGCGGAAACAAATGGCGCTGGTGATGGTTGTGGTGGCAGTACTGTTATTTCCGTTTCCGGTACATGCGTAGACCAACATTGTTGAGGCGTAGGAAGATTTAGTCGGGGCGGTGGTTTATATGTTGTGTGTATAGGAGCACTTTGAACTCTTGGCTGTAAGTTTGGATCAGGCTGTTTTGATGATAATTTGCTATCTGCTCTAGATTTGACGCGTGAGCTTCTCTCTCCTGCCGGTGTCGCCGGCGGTTGGTAATATTTACTGTCACGGTATCTGTATAGCGCCTCAAGCTCTGCAATCAAAAATATGGTACTTGAAAAGTAGTTATGTAGAGAGGCTGGAAGTCTCAGAGCAAAACCATGTAATTAACTTAACAATTTAGCCATCATCATTCACATGTATAACTATGTCAATGTAGGCTTGTAACACAATGGATGTAATAATTGTACACAAGAAGAGAACGAAAAGTTACTGTATCAATCATAACTCAAAAATATTTTCTTTTGGTTGGGTTTTACGTCGCACCAACACAGTAGAGGTTATATATTATTTTATATGGCGCCTTTCCAGCTTTACTGGTGGAGGAATACCTCAGGTTCCCATCTGTGCATTATTTACTCAAAGACATAAACATACATAACTCCATGTTCAATTAGATACATATAGTTTACGTCGCTAAATTTACAGGTTATAATTATACTGCAGAAACCCTGGGAAAATTACTTGAGTGTTTCTTTGATCCATTTATAATTTCTAAACTTAATCAAAAATGATCAATATTTATTCTAACAGCCAAATAACCGCATGACAAAATAAAAAAATAGTTCTACTCACGGTAGGGAGTAAGGGTATCAATGCGCCTGTCTTCGTAGACATTTTTGGCGGAAGGATACCAGCCATAGGTATGTTCCTTCATTTTCCTCCCTCCGTGTGAACTGTAAATAGAAATAAAAAAAATGTCATTTTGTTATTGATATCGATGGTGTTGTCCTTTTTTGGGACTTTTATGGAAGATATAAATATTTTTGTTAAATATGTTCATATTGATAATCTTTGTCCTTTAAGAACAAAGAGATTTTCCTTACAAGTTGTATGCTCTTACCCGATAAAAATAGCAAGGTAATCATCCAGCATTATTAAATGTTTCTCTTTTTCAAGTTCTTTAAAAAAAGGTGTTTCCATAATAATTTACTTAATGAACATACTTTCCTTAACACAATGTCATTTTAAAATACATAACATCACCATACACGCCTATGTATCTTTTTTCCTTGGACAAATATCTTTTTATATAAACACTTATAAACAGTTGAGTCTTGGCTTTAACCTTTCTCCCTTAAAAAAATTTGACCAATCACTGAGTAACTTATTTATATAATTTATTCACTAAATTTTTTTTCATTTTATTTCACAATAAATCAACTAAAACAAATTTCTACAATAATAGTTGTATATATAGATCTATTTACTTGTAATAATCATTTAATTTTATTTATTATCTTTTTTTTTATTTTTTTTTTAATTTAATTAAATTAGAATAGTCCAACCTTTTTATTCCCGGCAGACGATATTCATGCTTTGAGGACGACATTTTTGAACGAAATGAAATTATTTCTACATGGAGATCAATCAAATATTATCTGTTTTCAATAGCGTTGGCAGGCAATTAATCTGTGTCCATGTACAGATAAACCTTTTGCATTTTACTATCAAAATATCATAAACTCTGTTATGATAAAACATTTTTATATCATTTCTGTCCATTGAAATGTATTGAACAAAATGTAATTTCATAATTTTCTTCTTGATTTAACTTACATTGAAAAGAAATGTCAGTTTTATAAAAGATATACGGTGTATTAAGTTACTTCGTTTTCTTTGTAAGTTAAGAACACATTATCAAAAAGCATTGAAATAAAAATCAATTACATGCTGTCCTACATGTGTACATTTAATCACTGCTTTTATGTCAAAGAAAAGTAAATTTGTTTCGGCTTTTGTATCTTTTAATAATAAAAAAGACCATCGTCGAGTTATCTGGCTGGTTCTAATTAAGTTTGAAACTATTTTGGGTACCAGAATACTTGCAAAATTTACAAAATAAAAAAAACAACATGATGATCGTTCTTTGTTTTCTTTCAAAATATCAAGATCATTCGAGGGTTTAGTGTTTCTATGTAAACTAAGTCATTACATCAAAAAACAATGATATACATTTTGCATTGTGTCAGGTGAAGAAATGTTAACTTAATATTCATACAACGGCATAACACTTGGAAGTGGCCACAATGTTAAATTACATGTTTAAAGTATGAGGTACTAAAATGATCGTCTTCAAATAGCACTTTGTTATTGCAGTTTGAGAAGCAGGTTCCCGGGAGTTGATGCCTGACAGTGTTACTACTGGACCACTGTACCCGCTCTGAAACTTGATGGGCTTATTGTACTTCATTAATGACATCGTGTACATTCGGAATTTTCCGTCGCTTTACTGTGTTGTGAAAATCAAATATGAAGTAACAGTAAATAATAAGTTACTAAGTTAATTTAGTAAAGACCGGTCATAATGGCTCAAAATGGCCGTTTAACAGATTAATATTTTGAATCACTTGCTGGAAATCTTTTGAATATGTGAACAAATGAGGTTTATTTTTGCAAATTTGAAAAAAAAACAACAAAAAAAAACCCATAAAAAAACATTGAAAAAAGTCATGTCTTTTTAACAATGTTTGAACAATTCCAACAAAATCTAGTGCAATACGAGTAGTTATAAATACTGCTTTTGCAGGTAAAAAAATGTGTTGGAAAACGAATGCCAAACATTATGTTTTGCTTCAAGCCATTCACCTCATAATCGAAATAAATTTTAATTTGTCCAGTATTCTTTCCATATATGTTATGATATCGTGTTTGATTGATTTCGTGTGAACAAATTCCAAATAATCGAACCATATAGTTTCGGTAATTTGATTTTAAAGTCTTTATTCGAATTCGTTCTTGATATCAAATTAAAACATTTAAGCGCTCCATTAGTTAGGTTTATTTTAGGACAAATACCGCTCAAGTTTTTGTTTATAACTAATGATACGTAACTCTATCAACTGTAAACAATGAGTTAAAGATCCTAGATTGCTTAAAGTCAGATCATATGACAGCTACATTCATCGACCTATCATACTTTGTCTTCAACGGTATGTTTCCGTGAGTATAAGGTTTCTGGGCACATTGTACGGTATTTAATAGAATTATTTATCATTTTAAATTCATCATTTTAAAGCAAAATAATGTACAATGTCTAAAGTCAGTCTTAATGACGTGACGTTGTCATTTGTCATTATAAAAACTTATATCTTTTTTTAATCTTTCGGACAAATCCAAATTTTTCTCTGGCCAATCCACTAAACAATTTTTATTTCCTCTTAGCTGCAACGAAGAGCACGGATTTTGATGTAATAATATAATTTCAAATATAATGGCAAAGAGTTAAATTTAGTTTTTTTGTCCATATTAAAATATTATTCTTAAAATTTGTATTTTAGCAATAAAGTTAATGACGATATTAGCCCATCACGCACTATTTAGAGCGTCAACAACCTCATAATTACCTCAAGCAATGTAAGTGTTTTCCAAAAGAAAATCTATTTTAGAGAGTAACTGATTTATCATACTTTGTTTATTAAATATGCATTTTTTTAAAAAATATCGCGAAATCTGATGACAATTTTGATTATTGTCAGTTCCTACAGAATGGTTACTAATAAGATGAGATAAAGAAAAATACCTCTGATGAATTAAATTCTGGGGTTCATTAGATTTGATTAACGCAGATTTCAAATGTGTGATTTTGATACCCCCAGTAGTGACATGATTCCATCCAGAATATATCGAGTATAATTGTGTTGTTTGTTTCTGTTACCAGTATATGATAATGCCGGTTAACACGCCGAACAGATCTCGCTATTAAAACCGATATTATTATGAAGTGCACTTGAACTTTGTGAAATTACCTATGGTTATTGCTTGAACTTATATATACGAAAATTTTAATTGAAAATCTCCATACAATTCAAGATTTTAATGTCTAAAATAATTGGCTAGATAATTGGGATATCATATTAAACCAGAGAAGGTCAAGTTTTATGTGAAATTTAAATTATTTTACAAAAGAATATCAGACCAACGGGAAGTATAAAAATTTAGTCCACCTGTTTATGGTAAATGACCGTAAGTATTTCTTATAGAAACGACATATTTTGGTTACGTGATTTTATGAAAGAGGAAATAAAATAGCACTATTTCCGTTAATTTTATGATTGTATGGCTTGAATCATGAATAGCTTTAATTACGTCGATAATTTAAAGCAGAAACAAATAAAAGTTTACTGATTTAGAAACGGCAAACATGAATTTTGTAGTTTAAATAATGGTTTTAGAGAAAAATTAGATGCTTGTTACCCGAAGAAAAAAAGCGATAAATATGAAATAAGTTGTCATAAAAGTAGCAAAATGTAAAAAAGTAGTATTTTGACTTCCATACAAAATATTAATTCACTATAACTACTTATTGCCAAAAAGGAACAGAAGAAAAATATGGTCCAGGCAATTGACCAAGTAGCTTTTTGGATACTATAAAGGTACACCAAAATCAAAAAGGTTTTGAGAAATAAAACACATGACAGAAGTAATGAATGGCAATTATTTCAGAAAACATTAATTATACATTGTACATTTATATACCTTTTATTCGTTAGTTACACAGACAAATGTGCGACTAGTATCTGGACCTATCGATCTAGTATCTTTGTTTTTTGTGTTTTTGTTTTTTTTTCATAAATATTTCATTTATCTGTATAAGTCTTCAATTATCGAACTAGTAGTTTTATAAATTCTGAAAACGGTAGATTGTAATTCAAAGTTGTGATGTGTTTACATACAGCTTTTTATACTGTAATAAACTATTAGTGAAGTATTGAATGTTTTACCTGTAACATGCTTATTTTCGCTTATTATATTAGCTTAATGTTCTGAAATGTTTGCTTTTGGTATAGAGCAAATACTGTTTGAAATTGCACTTGAGAAGCGCGTTGTTTATATGCGTACCGTACGAATGGTATTTAAAAACGTTAATAATTCTTATACACCTTCTGCTAAAAAAGCCTGCCTTAAGTTTAAACGTAAACTCTGCAAAAAAAGTGCACTTTAATTAGCTATCAAGTATGTAAGTATATCGATTATATCTGTTTAAAAATCCTATTTTACCGATTTTACTTTTAACCGTTATTGATTTTAGGGTATATAAAGCAACGGCGGAAATGTTAACTTGATCATTAGCATAAACATTTTAAGCGGCCACTTTAGTTATGAAACCACTTTTTATAGCACAGGTTATCAGCGTAGGACAAAGCTCTACCCCCCCCCCCTTTTGGTACCAACCCACGGGTCCCTCTTTACCACCTAAATATCACGCTACGCCTAGGTACACATATTATCATTCAAAATAGTATAGGGAGTTCCGGTATGAGTCCCAGGAGATAGGGTTTGATCCCCATGCCTATAAGCTGTGATATTGATGCTTAAATCATTAACCTGCCGGGACCGGAAGTAATTGGCCTTTGCCAGCAGCAGAGAGGCTGGTGAGTCTGACCAGGCTTTACTTATACCGTTAGTAGCTCGATTTTTGTATTTTTATATCAAAATCCCTTAAACATTAAATGGACTGTTCCAAATTTAAAGCAGGGAAAATCCATTACGAAAATCCAGTAGGTTAAGAGATTAACGACCACTTAAGTTGTGAGACATTATCTTAAGATTTATTTCTTTGATGTACAAAAAAGTTTGAAAAAAGAAGATATATGATATTGAATCTGAGGGCATTTTTACGATCAAGTTTTCCTATGTAAAATATTGAATGTTTTATAGCAATAAATTTCACCATTCAGTAATTAAAGGCCCATTAAGCCTACTATCAGTTTTATTTCTCTAAAACTTTTATGTTTGGTATGTTGTTACAGTTTCCAAAACGCTAATCGTTTGCTATATAGAGAAAATATCTTTTGCTCTTTGTAAATAAGTATAGTTATTGTGATTAAGTATATAGTCAGGAAGTCAAAATACTACTTTGTTTACATTTTACGACACGTATGACACATTACTGTACTTTCTGCGCTACTTTCATTAGTTATTTAACAAAATCCACCATTAATACATTATTAAACACAAATTTAACTTTCCAAAGAATTATAACATAATTGATTGCCTGGCATAATGTGCCTTTAAATAGATAAAATAGATTTTTGCGCGTCTGACGTGTAAAGGTCAAGGTAAAAAGTTCGTGTTATTAAACTTCACCTGATGAATAATTTAGTTTCCCTTTATCTTTTTTGTTGTCATGTATCCAGACAAAGCAAAAGTATTCCATGATTTGTACATTGCAGATTTCCGGGTACTACCGAATTCTGCCGAATTTAACCGAATGTACTCTTGACCATATTTAGAAACCCGAAATATCACTTTGTGACTTAAGTTCTTAATGTTTACATGTAGTTTTTAGAAGATGATTTTAATCAGATTGGAAACATCATTTCTGTCAATATATATCAAGATAAACCCGGGACATACCTGTCCCGTGATATCATATCTCAGGATTTACCTAAGGCCGTGTCTACACCTATTCAAGTT